GTCTCATGTGTAGCTTGCACTTGTCGTTATTGATAGATTTTTAATACAAGTTTATCTGTCATTCTACTTGGCACCCACCTAGTGGCACCCTTTCATCATGAAGAGCGAGTCAAACAACAGGACGGAGTATACCGGCTTCTCCCTTGATCTTCTCTGGGAACTGTCTCAAAGGCTCAACTTCACGTAAGTTTGTGCATATCATTGTTATTGTTATTGTTACATTCTTATTGCCATTGCTATTGTCATTGTCATTGTTAATGTTAGTGTTGTTGTAATTGTTCTTGTTATTGTTAGATCATGTGTGAGGCATTGTAGTGAAATCAGGCCTTCGTCAAAAGAATGAAATACGAGAAACCTGCATTTTTAGGCCCGTTTGGAAATTTTTGGCGCATTTTTGTTTTTTGGCGCAACATCTTGTACGTCCATTCAAAAACACTTTTATGGGTGGATTTTATGGAGAAACGTAGATTAAAGGCACAACAAATTTAAAGTTGCAGTTTCCAAGGACTCTTAAGCTATGGAGTCACCAAACTTTGACTGCGATTTTCTCGCTCATTTTAACTCTGAAACCATGCGACCCCCACCTCCTTCAATTGCAAATATCTCGACTTCTGTTCAAGATAGATTAAATGGATAATCTTTTCATCGAGAGCAAGGCAAATAAACAACCTTCATGGTGATAACAATAACTCCATATGCTCAAAAATTGACGAGCGCCTGATTCCTCTATGTCTTGACACATTTAGTAGGTGAGCTGCTTCGAGCCTTCCTGTCAGGACCAATCTGGACTGTCAGGAGGGATAGAATGTCTCAGCAGACTGACGGAGATACATACTTGATGAAATGGGTGGTTGGCAGGTGCTTTGGTGTGGTTTGCTCCTTCTTTCCTGTCGAATATCTATAGTCCTTATTTATCCTCCTTCTTTGTTTTGTATGTCCCTCTCTTGGGATACCTCTACTAATATTCGGCACCTATTTGATCTAATTGTGTTGTAATTTCCTTAAAACACTAACTAAAGTGAAAAAAAACTTCGATTTTTCAAAACCCCCCCCCCTCCCCAACCCCTAAATTGTAATTGAATTCGTGACTCATACGTACAACGGCGAACTGCTACTCAACAGACGCCAATTATACTTCCTCAACTCTTGTTTGATACCAGGAAACATTTCCCTCTTTTAACCGCCTTAGGTACAGTCTGAAGGAACCAGCAGACAAAGGGTGGGGAGCCCTGAGGCCAGATGGAAAGTGGACAGGAATCGTCGGCATGCTGCAGACATATGTAAGTAATCACTCTGCTGGTGAAGGGGGAA